AGATGGGTGAGTTTATAATTTTATTTATTTATTTGTTTATTTATTTATTATTTATTTAAAGAAGAAGGATTCTCAATTTTAGCTTTAATATAAATATTTGGTTCTCATAATCTCCGCAATGTTAGTTACTTTGCCGACATACTTAATAACACATCACAAGATCAGGAACGTATTATAATCGAACCAAACGGCGAATGGTCTGTTCAGAAAAAACGGAATATTTCAGAAGAGCCGGTTCATTCTCCTGTTACTAAAACTTCGAAAAAGACACGCTGTGTGGAACCATCGATAGATGTGTACGTGATAGATGACTCAGAAGACGAGAGTACTCCTATACAGCCAAGTAAACCGATTCAATCGCATCCACCTACATTTAATGGGAAAGAGATAATTGATCTGACACTAAGTAGCGATGAAGAAGATACTCCAACGATCAACAGTAACAAAGATATTATCAGACATGCTACCTCAGGTATCAACAGATCTTCTATTAAGTTAGAAATTCCTCAAGATCCAACTATTCCAACACTAAGGTTGCCTGCTGTAATAGGTTTACTAGAGTTGGAAGGTTGCAACTTTTCATCTCAAAGTTGCAATTTTTTGCCGTAATAGGAGTAATAGTCGTAATGGGAGTAATGGATGTAATGAGTGTAATGGTTTTATGCGTAACGGCTAATAAGTAACTGTCGATGCCATCACGCTAAACCAGATATTAACAAGATTTCAGTGATTTTGAAAATTTGTAATCTTATAGATTATCATGAAATTAAGAATATGGATTGCTAATTTCAAAAAAACCAAGTATGTACGTGAACAGATACATGTGTAGGTCACCACATAACCATGCTCACTGCCAATACCATATGCATGTTCAAATCTATACTATATGTTCATCTAATTTTGAAACGCCTCTAGCATAATCACCCAAATCATTTACGTAACAAAGAAGATGTGCGACGCTGTCCACTAAAAACCAGGAACGTAGGCAATGATATTTATAATTATATATACTAGTTCTTTCTTTTGATAGATTTAGCAATATGACTTAATCTGGAAAAATCCATTTATTTTATAAAAATAGAGGGTATCACATTATGATTTCATCAATTGACTTAATTGTAAAGTGTGTAGAGCAATTTAGAAAATATATAGATCGCTAAATCAACATGAATAAATTGAACCCAAATAAAGGATTTAACAGTACAGTAATTAAAAATTGCATATATGGGTAGTTTGTCACCCGTTCCAACTAATAATTAGATATGACCAAGTAATACCAAATTATTGATAGTAAAATAATCTTAATATGAAATTATATCTTTACTCTTTTTTTTAATAAAGTAAATATCAACAAATTAGTTTTGAATAAAAGTTTACTACGTAGTTAGATTTTTAATAATTTATTTTATATATTTTAGCTCTAGTTTTTGACGATCAACAAAATTATCAATTCATCTGTTCCATAAAAATCCGGTAAAAAAAGAACCGAAATTTTTCGAAGATTATAGTACGATCTAACATATTTATGCACGTGATTATTGCAGCAAAAGTTATAAATTATATGCTCGTGTAACCGATACGTTAGCTACACTTTCTCAGTATACATAACATGTCTTCATAAATAAACTAGTTGTAGCTAGCCTAAGATATCAATATGTAATTGTCCGAGAATTCTTCTTTTTGACGGTAATGCAATGCTTGTCAGGTATAACCAATAGAAATCGAGAATTGAGGGTATCCGTCGTCTGATTGGCTGATGCAAATCAATCGCCCGGGTAACTAATTTATACAGTTTAAAGTACTTTTTGAGAAGGTAACGTTTCACTAATAAAAAATCACCGTAAAGCCATTTATCGCTTCGAACAAACGCTTATATTTATTGTTCAAAATAAGCTTGGGTTTATGAGTCGTAGATTGTATTGTGGAAATTTAAAATCTTTTATTATCCAGAAATGTTAAGTAATTTTTTTTTGCTTACAAAATAAACACTTATAGAGTGGGTAAATGCGACACGTTTGTACTCTAAACCAGTGTTGGCCATTGGCCGAATTGGGCAAAAAAAATTATTTGCCCAATATGATTGGTTAATGCTATATAAGTTAGAAACTTTTGGCCGAAGTTTGGATTCTGGCCATTGGCCGGCCAAAGGCCAAAAAAATTGTTTGGCCACAAGAAATTGCCAACACTGCTCTAAACATTTCGCAATAATATAAACCAATCTGATTTGGTTACTTGTATACTATTACCCCCAATAATTTACATTAAACTTGTGAATAAAAAATTGGATTATATATATATATTAAACTATATACCATCATTCTTAATATACAGTATCATAATAATGTCATAATTAGAGACTAAATCTGGATATTTGGAATAATTCTGATTTCAGATATATAATTTTGTATGAATATCCGGATTTAAGCTCTATATATGACCGTTTCAGTGAAAACTAGGTATCATTATTCAAAATATGAAAAATAATGAATGAATTCTTTGCAATCTATAAATAATAATTAAAATGCACCCTCAAACTGCCATAAGATAAACACCATAAATAACTTCACATAGAATTTTACTCTAAACATTTGAAGGAATATATATTAAACATAGAATTTTTGTTTTTACCCCCGTAATAATAATAAGTAAATGCGTAAAGACTATTCATATTAATGTTTAAAATCAATTGAATATATTAAATTCCTTGGACAACACGGGGCCACTGCAGTCGAATTTTCTCAAATAATAAAGGTTTAGTTCTTCTTAACGCATCTGGATCTTCAGCCAAAGCAACGAAAGTAGTTGAGACACCAGAGCCGATGGCATCGGTAATAACCACCTATTTAAAAAGATATGTGAATACATAAATAATTTTGTTTTAACTTTTAAATAATATAAATAAAGTTTTACTTACACACATCATAAAACCAATTACAAAACAAATTATAACAAATACAATTACTAAATTCGTATTCTCCGTTAATAAATACTGTATGGAAGTAGATATATAAATGTATCCAAGTATTCCACAAAGAACACCAATTAAAAGGGAGCCCATGGTTAGCACATTTCCAATAAGATCATCGTTGATAATAGCTTCAACACCACGATCTTTGATTAAGGTCCAGGTATCTTTGGCAGCTTGACAATATGATTTACCATATATCGCGACTATTCCAGAATATGTATTAAATTGATTAGAGGCAGATACAGTATTAAAAAAAAAAAAAAAAAAAAATCTATTAAAAATTCACCTTCAACATAAGCGTAGAAATTAAAGTATTCAACAAGAGACTCAATCCATGCTAACAAGCAAGCGATACAGACTGCACAAAATCCGCAGGCACCCTCGTCGCTATTCGCAAAAGCTTGTAGCACTGTTCTAGTAGTACTAAGGAGTGCAATTATTAAACTTCCGAAACAAATGCTACCTATAGAGGTTGTAGTTGCACGCTTAAATGAGCTAAGAGTTGGAGTAGTGCCTGCTCCTTGAGGAGTGCCTTCAAGGAAATAATATGTTGCATAAACTCCCGAGGCAGTAACATGAACAATAGTCTTTATGACCTGACTTGTCCAATAGAAACTGAAAATCAAATATACTAATATTAGGTAGAGGCCAATGCTACAGGACTTTCGACCATTACTCGCGACAGTACACATCGTTGCATCGAAATATTCATAACTAGAAACAAAAAATAATTAGCGAAAAATTATATGCAACTATACATTATATATAATTATGAACTTACGCTCCAAGTAAACTCAAGATCCACAAGACAGACCATCCCACCTGAAGTATTAACCCTATAAAACCCATTATAACGACACCATAATATTTTCTTGTGATGCTTACAACTGTCTCCAACAGAATTGCCGCAAAAGGAATACGATTACGCCAACTAAAGGCAGCAATTAAATATAATATACCGAAAACTACAAAAATAACTGCCTAAAATTTGGTTATGTCTATTAGATGATATTCATGATATTCATAAATTAAACGCAAAAAATTTAACACATTTAGATACAAAAAAAACTTACCCAGATGTATAAGCGACTTAAGAAAAAGAAAGCAGCAGCGATAAAATACGTGGCAATCGACAGATATAATGTTATTTTGATAAGTGGTTGTGGAAATCTTTGCATTAAAAGCAAATAAACGACACTCAAAATAAGTCCAGCCACTCCGGAAATAGCGAATGGTGGAATTATTTCAGGGTTAAAAAATTCGCTCTTCCCTCCAAGTTTATTATTATCTATAAGCCGCTTTAACCCAATATAACTAAGAATCACGAAACCAGCAAGGTGAACGAGAAACAGTAGAAAGGCCCATAAATCTAAAATATGCATATATATTATTTTCAAAATTCCACAAGACTTTAATGCTCCGTTTCAAAATAAATCGGAGTTTACACATGCCTTGAAATTTTGGTGTTGGATTCCATTTTTCTGCTATCGAACCACGAAATGATCCCTGCTCATACGCGGGTGGTTGATAATGTGGAACCGGTGAATACCTTCCTGACTGAGGTGGGTAATATTGCTGTTGGTCCGTCTGAGAATAATAGGGCTGTGTAGGTTGTGTAGGTGCAGGCGCAGGTGGGTAATATTGACTCATTATCTTTCAACGTTAATGCGAATCAATCGTTAGAATATAAACTTCAGCGCTAGGCTTTTAGCATTAACATAAAAATTTTTAAAGGCTCAGTTTATTTGTGGCTTCTATTTCTCAGGTGTAACCTAAAATTTATAATTACCTATTCTTTAGAAGCTGGTTTATAAATTGAAACTGTTTCAAAAATATCTTATTTAGACTGCTTCAATTTTTAACGTTATTACGTTTCTTTTTATAGTAAAATATAAGCTATACATTACGAATATATATTGCGAAACCATACTAATGCGTACGCATGACGATGGCGATTTTTATTTATTTACCAAAAACGTGTAGTTTATTTATATTGTTATTTTGAAGTTTTGAATGGCGATTCATAGACCCAGTTTCCAATTTAAAAATTAAAATTCTATAATTCTATCGCTATTTATAACGATAAGAGTATCTATAATGAAGTTACAAATTCAAGGCCCTCACTCCTTGATTAATTGTCTGAGTGTAATGAATAGTGTCGGCTATTTTTTTTTTCTTGGCAACACTCGTATTTAATGTTCTGTTTCAAATTTTTGGAAATCAAATCGACTTAATTCCGTCCTTTTCTATTTATGTTACATGTGAAGTTTCTAGAATCCAAAACTATAAATAAGCATTGCTAAAATAGTTTAGGAATTGGAAAGTAGTACAGTAACAGATTGGACGGACATACTACGTGCTATACGTACGGCTAGTACATTTTTGTGAGCAGGTACTTGCTTATTGCTTCTTACTTGTGGACCGGTAAAGGTGTAACCTTTTTAATGGTTAGAGTAGAGCAGACGCTAGTATTGTTTCTTTCTTTGTTAGGGTAAGGACCGGTAGTAGAAAAAGTAACTTTGGTTTGATGAATGTTTTCTTTTACAAATCGTACTCCTGCTAATACATGTTAATTAAAAAAATTTGTATATAATTTAGATGATGCAAGTATTTTAAAATAGAGGTAGCTATGAAATTTGGTACATAATAAAGTTGTATATTTTAACTATTTTAGTTTTTTTGGCAATGTTTAATCTTAAAATATTTAAATTTTTTTTTTTATTACAAAAAAAAATTTAGTCTATAAAGTTGCATCAAACAAATAAATCCACAACATATAAGATTTTCCAAGGTTAAATTGTGGCTAGAGTGGGAAGGGGCCGGCCCCCAACCAATTTTGTCATGGCAGATTCTCGATTTTGATTGGCTAACGCCGTGATCTACAAAATTTTGGCCTGCATTACACAATTGTTTACATAATTTTGGCGGAATTAACTTTTTTATTTCAAAATAGGCAGTCTAAAAAATTTCGCTAACCAATCAAATTTCAAGATCAGGTGTAACGTTGCACGATCAGAACAAACGTCCGTTTTGTCAAAAATCGCTTATAACTCAAAATTTAGTCTATGAAACTGCCTTCTACGCACTAACAAAAAGTTTTCCTTGCGAAATTTTGGTATAGCTATAACCTTTTAAACCCAACTTTTTAGCAAGACTCTAACCCTAATCTGCGAAACTTCTTTT